TTTTTTTTTTTTTTTTTAAGTACCAGACTGCACCTATTAGTTCATCATCGTGACAACAGAAGCTGCACACGAACACGCCCACTAAAGTGTGGCCGCTAAGAGCCTATCAAAGTAGTCGGCGCCCAACTCAAGTTCGGGGCGCCAGGTTCTGGAAAAGCGCCTCGGGCATGGCTGACCTTACCCCTACCTGCGATCGGTCTGGGGACCTTTCTTTCTGGAGCTTACCTGAACCACCTTAGTGAACTCCTCGTACACCCGCTTCTTCAGGTGCGCCGCCATCGCGGCCCGCGGACCCTGTCAGCTTCCGTACTCGGCGAGGAGGGGGGAGTGACGGAAGGGGGGCGTGGTAAAGGAATCCGGAAAACCTGCCAGGGCCAGAAGATCCCGCCACCGTCCCACAAGGCAGTGGGATCACCGGAAAGAGAGGCTGCTTCCGGTGGCTCGATTGCCGCGGTGACGTCGGGATTGGGCCGCCTAGGCCAGGTGCGCCGGGGGAACGGAAACCAAAGCGTAGCAAGAGGGGGAGGAGCCTACGGGGACGGGCGAGCCAATGGGAGGAGCTTTGGGGGGCTAGATGGCGCCCGCGGAACTGAGCGGAGGGAGGAAGGAAGGAAAGGCGGGGCGAATTAGAGCTGGAAGCCAACCCCTGAGCTGCGTAATAATTTTGACTACGGAGATAACGGAAAGAGCCCCAGCTGACGTTCCCATAGTTATTTGCTGTTCACGGTGTTTGCTGCTTCTGTATTTATTCCTCGAGCTCTTCCTTCGGACAGTGTGTGTGGCGCCCCTCCCCTGTCCTGGGTTGCTTTTTTCCTGCTTCTTCACACCGGTTGCTCAAAAGCTATGTATCCTTTAAGGCAGTGTTTCCCAGACTTCTCTCATGATGAGAATCACCTGGTGGAGTTGTTAAACTACAGATTCCTGAATCCCAACTAAGAAGTGCTAAACTAGAATTTTTGGGAACATATAGGTAAAAATTGTCTACTTAACTAGTGCCCTGTCTTAACTGATACAGTCTTATGCCTGTACCTGACACACTCTGTCTTAGAGCACTAAGACACAGAAGTCCCCAAAATGCATTAAAAGATGGTCTTTACTTACCTTCAAGGTCCTACAGTCTAACTGGGAAGGGAGACACGCAAGCTGATAATTAGTGGGCATTCAAAGTGTGATGGATAAACAGAAGAATGTGGTTCGGACAGACCTAACTTCTTCAGGATATCTCAGGGAGGTTTTACAGCAGGAAGAATTTAAAATCTGGCTTTAAAATACAGGTTTATCTTGGGGATACTGCAGATTTGGTTCCAGGCCTCTACAATAAAGCGAGTATTGCAATAAAGCAAGTCACTTGGAAGTTTTGTATAAAAAAGTTATGTTTATACTTTACTGTACTCTTAAGTGTGCAGTAGCATTATGTCTTAGACAAGCTACTGTCTGAATTTAAAAATACTTTATTGCTTTAAAAATGCCATCATCTGAGTCTTCAGGCAAGTAGTAATCTTTTTGCTGGTTGGAGGGTTTTCAATTTGTAAGAAACACAATAAAGTGAAGGATGATAAAACAAGTTATGCCTATGGTAAATTTTCCAGGAAGAATGGCATCCCAAATCACAGAAACCACTCCATTTACAAATATAGTCAGTTAAATGAAAAGCACTTAGCAAACAGTATCTTTAATAAATGTTAGCAGCTCTGGCTGGTGTGTCTCAACTTGTTGTGTGTCATCCTTTGCACCAAGAAGTTGCTGATTTGATTCTAGGCCAGGGCACATACCCGGGTTGCAGGCTTGATCCCTGCAGGAGGCAGTCGATAGATGTTGCACTCTCACGTTGATGTATTTCTCTCCCTCTCCCCTTTTTTCTCTCTCAAAACATACTTTCAAAATCAGTTATGTCATCTTAATTGTATTATGGATTTGGAAGTTGGAGGGATATACTGGAATTGCCTTTGTTTAATATACTAGTTTGGTGAGTTGGTTAGGAAGAGAGTCTGATTTTAAGGGATGCAGGCTAAAGCCAAAGCAATAAAATGAAAATAAAATAAAAAGGTAACTGGAACATGGGCTGCTTCTGGCAGGGCTGGTGGAAACTTGACATGCCTCTAAAGCCTATTTGGAAACAGCACGCTCACTTCCACACATACTCCATTAACCAGATTAGGGGCATAAGGCTAAGCAGGAAGTCAGTGGGATGGGGAAGACTACTCCCATCTACAGAGAAGCATGTCAAGAACAGGGAAGGAAGCTTGGCTGTTGTGGCTTAGTGGTTAAGCATGGACCTATGAATCAGGAGGTCACGGTTTGATTCCCAGTCAGGGCACATGCCCAGGTTGCAGGCTTAATCCCCAGTGCTGGAAGCAACTGATCAGTCATTCTCTTCCTTCTTCCCCTTCCGTTCTCTGAAATCAATGGGGGGGAAAATATTTAAGAAAAACAGGGAGGGAAGAATAGAAAACAAGCTACTACTGAAAAGCCCCTAGAGATGTAGGTGACTGACACACTTTTAAGAATATCAATAGATATGTCCAGTGTTCAACTTGAAGTTATTTGCATTTGCAGTGTAAATTGTCTCCCCTTTGTCTGTGTTTCCACAGTGCTATGTGCACAAATAACTCATGGGAGTGGAATTTGTAAAAATTAAGAAAAATACCTGAGTCCAGGCCAAGTAGCTCAGTTAGTCAGAGCATCATCTCAATATGCCACAGTTGTGGGTCTGATCCCTGGTCAAGGCATATACAACAAGTAACCAGTGAATGCGTAAATAAGTAGAACAACAAATTAATGCTTTTCTAAGTCAATAAATAAATAATTTTTTTAAAAGATCTGAGTGTTAAATCTGGGTGAGCATTGTGCAGAACAGCAACAATAGGTTTGAGGCATCTAGATGAGAAGATCCCTATGCTGAATGAATCTGTCAGGAGCAGAGAACCAGAGCCGACCAGAAGGAGACAAACCCTCTGGGAATGTGCAGAAATCTTGGGGAGGACATTGACCCTTCCATAATTCATGAACCTGAGAATACAAGCAATTCTACTTACATCTTAAGAAACAGGGAGTCACCGAAACCGGTTTGGCTCAGCGGTAGAGCATCAGTCTGCGGACTGAAAAGTCCCAGGTTCTATTCCGGCCAAGGGCATGTACATTGGTTGCAGGCACATCCCCAGTAGGGGGTGTGCAAGAGGCAGCTGGTCGATGTTTCTCTCTCATCGACGTTTCTAACTCTCTCTCTCTCTCCCTTCCTCTCTGTAAAAAATCAATAAAATATTTTTTTTTTAAAGAAAAAAGAAACAGGGAGTCTCTTTGGAATCTAATCTCATTACTAATCAAATGGTATGAACTCTCAGGCACTTGATAAAGAATGTTGAATTGCTTCATAATAAAAAGTTCAAGTAGATATTCAGGGTTTTTCCATTTTAAATTGTCAGCTATATTAAATACCAAAAAAGGAAACCATTAAACAAGTTTTGAAAATAAAAAATATACAAGCAGACACAGTTACTAAATTGTAATGCTTATTGAGGGTGGCTATTCTTTTTAAAAAAATAAAATAATAAAATAATGATTTCGGAGAGGAAAAGAGACGGAGAGAGAAATAGAAACATCAATGATTAGAGAGAATCATCAACTGGCTGCCTCCCGCACACCCCATACTGGGGATCAAGCCGGCAACCCAGGCATATGCCCTCACCAGGAATTGAACAGTGACTTGGTTCATAGGTCGATGCTCAACCACTGAGCCACGCCATCTGGCAATGACTTTGTTCTGAGCAATTTTATTTTAAATTTGAAACTCCCTGACTCAGTATTAATTTCTTAAACCTTTACAGTTGACCTTCAGTCCTGAGGAATCCAGGACGGCTGGTCACCCTTATAAGCAGGGAAGGGGGTCATCCATCCCAGACCTGGACTTGGAGAAGGATGAATATCTACATGTGTCCTCCTGAGAGTTATGTTTTACGTTGACAAGCAGAAGCTGAAACAGAGTCTTTGTTAAGTGGTTTATTGCTGATGTGCTTTCAGGAAGGGCAGTGAGGGAAGCAGGATAGAGCAGAGGAAAAACGCTAAGCAAAAATGTGGTGTTAGATGAAGGTTGGCTTCAGTTTGATCCCACAAGAAACTCTGGAACAGGAACTGAAGCAGAGTTGGTTCCTCCTTGAGGTAACGGAGAACCTCACAATAAGGGCAATTCTTTTCTAGAACAGGTCTCAATCAGAATGCATCTGAACCACCTGGAGGACTGGTGAAAGCAGACTGCTGGGCCAACCCCGAGTTTCTGACTCAGTGGGCTGAAGTGAAGGACAGAGAATTTGTATTTCTAAAAAGTTCCAGATGTTGATGCTGCAGGGACCACACTTTGAGAACCACTGTTCTAGAGACAGGACAGCCATGAGGCTTTACAGCAACTAATGCCGCAGCTGAGTGGCATCTACTATAGGTACTAACTTGGCATTTTCCTCATCATGAAGGCACACACCTGGGCCAGAGGATTGGCTCCCAGGCTGAAGCTGGGTAAACCGTGTTTTTAGGTCAGACTATCTAGATTCATATCCTGTTATATTCCTGTTGATATCCCGCATCTCCAGCCAAACCGTTTTTGAAACATTCCAACTCAGCCTTGCTATCAGACCTCAAGGGAAGAGTCTGCAGGTACATGAAGCTTTAAAGAGAGAGAAGCTGCTGAGACCGGTTTGGCTCAGTGAATAGAGCATTGGCCTGCAGACTGAAAGGTCCCAGGTTCAATTTTGGTCAAGGGCATGTACCTTGGTTGCAGGCACATCTCCAGTAGGGGGTGTGCAAGAGGCAGCTAATGGATGTTTCTAACTCTCTGTCCCCCTCTCTTCCTTTCTGTAAAAACTCAATAAAATTTAAAAGAGAGAGAGAAGCTGCTGCACTTCACTAGGCCAAGTACAGTGGAGTCAGTTGCAATGAGTGGAATGTCTTCAAGGGAGGACATAAATATTTGAGAGCAAGCTTTGCAGACCACCTTGGAAGTTGTTTTATTATTTGAAATTCATTTTACAAGCCCCGCTAGAGCCCATCACGAATAGCCACCGTCCCCTGGCATCACCACCAGGTGAATCGGAACGTATAGAAGTATTCTTGGGCACCCGTCTTAGGCTGAAACGTCTTCTTGGAACAGTAGTCATAGGCTACCTGGTACCCCTGAGCCTCGATGTCCATCTGCACGGAGTCCAAAAGGTCCCTGATGGCTGGGGCTGCTTTCCAGGGCCCGAATTTGACGACCAGCCTCTTGTTGGCCTCCAGGACCCGCAGGGAGTCCGCGCAGTGCGCCGCGTCCTCCTCCGTGCGCGCCGCGCACACCAGCACGTGGGAGTGACGCGCGGCCACGGCCTCCGCGCGTGCCAGGCGCACCATGAGCTCCAGGTTCTCGCCGTAGCTGGGCACCCGCAGCAGGAACTGCTTCCGAGCCACCTGCTCGCCGAAGATCTGCGGCGTGTCCTCCAGCAGCTTGACTAAGGGCGTGATTTCGAAGAATTGAGCCTCGCGGTACACCTCGGGGATGTGCTGCTTGGGCACCTGCCCGCTGCGCAGGTAGTCCAGGATGGGTCCGAAATAGGTGCCAGGGCGGTCGATGAAGAATCGGCCTTCCCCATCCTCCTTCGTGGAGACCTTGGCTGAGGTGCAGAACATATCTGCCAGCCTCGAACCCGGGATTTTTCTCAGGGTGCTCACAGTAGTGGTGAAGATCTCGCCGCCCACGTTAAGCTTCACCACAGCAGATGTCTGGGGGGTACAAGAGGCAGTGAATCAATAGCGCCACCTCTAGGGGAGCTCACGACTATGTTTTCATACAAAGAAGAACCCCGTAGACTCGGGTAGAGAATTGGCTTCAGTTATTGGAAGGCACATCTGTTAACTGAGCGGGACCTATAAATACGTCAAACGTAAACAATATCGGGAACGGGTAGGACTTATGAATAGGTCCTTGAAATATATGTTGCGCCCCGAGAGGGACGGTATATATTTTTTGTAATCTTTTTTAAAAAATATTTTATTGATTTTTTACAGAGAGGAAGGAAAGGGGAGGGATAGAGAGTTAGAAATATCGATGAGATGAGAGAGAAACATCGATCAGCTGCCTCTTGCACAGCCCCCACTGGGGATGTGCCTGCAACCAAGGTGCATGCCCTTGACCGGAATTGAACCCTGGACCTTTAGGTCCGAAAGCCGACGCTCTATCCACTGAGCCAAACCGGTTTCGGCTATTTTTTGTAATCTTTATCATTGTTTGTAAAATTTATAATTTTTTAATTCGACGTGTTCATTTTTTTTTGTCGGTATTCTTTTCTATATTTTTTGTAATTTTGTATTTTCCTTTGTGCTTTATATATACAAATAAACGGGAAAATATATATATATATTTCATTTATTTTCATTAAGTATAAATAAAAAATAATAATATGAAATTACGTCCTCCGGGCGTGGCGTACTGACACGTCCTAGTGAAAGAGTACGCGCCCGTTACAGGTTGCGTCATTAAAAAGGGAACTCCCCGGTTAACAGGTTAACACAAGGGGTTTATACTTATGCTGCAAAGCTCCAGAGAATGGGCATTTTAAAGAAGACAAAGGTTTCAGTTTGATCTAAGACTACCCATGCAAGCATTTCAACGTTCTCATTTGGATCACAGAATGTTAGTCTAGGAGGCTGCTGTGGAAACAAGTCCCAGCCACATTACTTCCAAAGCCCGTGGTCTTTGGCAAGGCTTTTTTCCTCCTTGGTTCTTAGTGTCCTCATTTATAAAATGGGGATAGGAAGCTGATGTCAAGTCAGCAGTTCCCGATGTGGGACGCTTAGGTCTAAAAGACATAAAACAAAACAAAACAAAAGGCAGGGGGTGGGGTGGGGGGTGCAAACCATTTCCAACTTCCAGAAAGGATAAGAAACCATACATGCACTCATCCAGGAAGCATTTCTTGAGTACCTACTGTGTGCCCACATACGGTGCTGGGAGTTGGGGATAAAAATTCTTATTTCATATAGATCAGAAGTTCTGATTAGCAGTTGACATGACTTTGATTAACAAATAGAACTTGTTTGATAATGGTTTTTTTTTGTTGTTGTTGTTGTTATTTGTTTGTTTCATTTTGTTTTTCAAGATATGGGCCCATGGGGATTAAATAACAGAAAAACCTTGGGTAGTGAAAAGGCTAGTAACACCAGATACACTGAGTATAAGGCTGTAAGGTTGGTACAAATTTAAGTTAGGTTTACCTGTTCAACAGAACTATGTAGAGGCCTCCTCTCTAAGTAAGACCTTGGGCTGAGCACTATAGATGTCAGTGAGACGACCACAGTGCCTGCCTGGGTGCCCACAGCCCGTGGCAGAGAGAGACGTGGAAACAGACTGACAGGCTGCCTTTGGGGAATACTAAGTGCTGCTGCACAGGCCCAGCAGAAGACTGTATAGAATTATTATATGTGAGGTGATGTATCAGCTGTTGTCCTTACAAACTAGCTTCTGGAATAACTTGTTACCTAAAATTCACTCAAAAAAAAATTCACTCACTCATTCAATAAAATATGCATGTGCCTAACTTTGTGCCAGATACCTGGGGCATAGGGAAGAACAAGCAGAAAGCAGTCCCGTTCCTCAGAGTCCGGTAACTGTGCAAAGCATATTGCAAACAAGCTCTAACTCAATTCTCATAGCTATCCTGTGAAGAATGTATTAAATCCCTATTTTACAGGTAAAGAAACTAAGGCTTAAAGAGATGAAGTAAGTTGCTTAAGAGCAACCATATATTAAGGGATGGTGTCAGCATTTGAACTCAGGTCCGACTTACTCTGAAGCTTGTGCTCTTAGTTATTATATAAATTAGTTTTCCAATGCCTCCAGCCTTCTTTTCCTTAATTACCCATTCATTTAAAAAAAAAGCCGAAACCGGTTTGGCTCAGTGGTAGAGCGTCGGTCTGCGGACTGAAAGGTCCGATTCAGGTCAAGGGCATGTACATTGGTTGCAGGCACATCCCCAGTAGGGGCTGTACAAGAGGCAGCTGATCGCTATCTCTCTCTCATCGATGTTTCTAACTCTCTATCCCTCTCTCTTCCTCTCTGTAAAAAAATCAATAAAATATATTTTTTAAATTAAAAAATAAATATAAAAAATAAAATAAATATGTAGAGATGACCTATTCCATTGAAGCCCCTCCTAAACAGATGGATACGGCATAGTCCCTGCCCTCAAGGAGCTCAGGGGAAGGAGGGAAACAGATGACTTAGCTGTGTAGAAAGGAAGACTCAAAGGCAGGCAGAGTCGGCTTCTCGTGGGTGTGTGTTGGAGGTTGTCAGGGAAGGTTTCCTAAGGGTTGCTGCTGCAGAGAAGACCTGTGCAGTGTTTGAAGGCTGAGTTACCAACTCAGGGAACTCTAACCCCTGGTCATTACAGGACCAGAGCCCAGGAATGTCCTTCTGATTTAGGTGTGACCTTGGTTCTCAATTTATCTGTGAGCTTTAGCTCTAAGATGAAAACACTGGGATTAAGAGAGCCAGAGTCAGCCAAACCGCTAGGGGCGATTTCAGTTGCCATGACAACAGCTCCTACCCGGGGACAGTTCTACTGGCTGGAAGGGAGAGGAGAAAGAAGAGGATGCCCTCTGACAGCAGCCAAGCAATACAGCCATGAGAAAAGCAAGGCCAGAACCTGTGACTCCCTTTCTTCCACAAACCTCAAGGTCCCGTGGCAAGGTTTTTCGGTGAACCCTGAGGTCCCGCTGGACAGCGGGTAGTTAAATGCAAAGTCGCAGACTTTAACGCTCTCATCACTCCTGCACCACTGAAAGCTCACCGGTGCTCTTAATGTCCCCACATTACAGGCAAGGAAAGCTCAGAAAGAAGGGTCACACGGAAGTGATGAAAGAAGGAAATGATGAAGTTGGAGCTGCATTAATCCATGTCAGCCTGACTACAGTGTAACAGGGATGCCCTATCTCTCCCCCTCCCAACATCCAGCCCCACTGTGCCAACGATTAGCTAGGTGCCTGGGGCAGCCCACTGCCTTCTCTGGGCCTAAACGCGTTGTCTGTGAAAGAGAGAGGCAAAACGGATGAAGGGAACGCTAAGTCTCTCCAGCTCTGAAAATCTAATGAATCCACTCTCCTCAACTGTCATTTCCGAAGCTCATTTCCGGGTGCTTCATAAAATAGCTTCCTGCCCTGACATCCTCAGCCCCCATTTCTTTGTTTATCAAACAAGACCTAGCTCCTGTCCCCAAGCTTCTTAATTCGGTCCCTCTCCCCCTCCTTTCTAACAAACACTTCCAAGCTCTTTGGAAACCCCAGACCTCCAACCTCATCCATAAGCACTACCGTGTGCGTACCTAGCAGATAAAGACTGCTTTTCCACCCTTCTTCTGAACCATCTGCCCTTCCTTGTGGCATCTCTTCTCCCACCTTTTCTAAAAGCCACCCTGCCACAGCATTCCTGAGTGGGAGAGCCTGTCCCTGGCCCATGTGCATGGGCAGGGGACAGGTGGTCTCTAGGAGCCCCTACTGGGGGCGAGGCTAGTACTGCCCATGAGGACAGCGGGATGAATCAAACATGCCAGCTCTCACTCAGTTCTAGTCAAAAGGGTCCTTAACACCTCTGCAAGCCCCCACCAAACATCATACATTTTCTTAGGCCACCCTTATTGGAGCCAGTGAAGGGACATCTCCATTCTCATACACCTCAAACCCCTCAAGATCTCCCCGCAACCCACAACCCTGACCTTTTCTATTGTTTCCTATCTCAGCTGTCTGAGCAAAAACTCAGGCGGTAATCTTACATTCTGCTCCTAAGCTCAACCCTTTCCCCGCCTCAAACACACAAATAATCAGTGACCAAACCCTGGTGATTCTAAATGTTTGGTCAGTTCCGTGGCACCCTGCCCCCCTCAAATACCCTCCCCCAACCCAATCTCTACTCTGAAAACAGAGCAGCCTTTCTTAAGGGCAAATCTGGTCTGTCTCCTCCTGCACTGAACATTTCCGGGACCCTACATTCCCTTTCTGATACACTCTGGACTCCTTCATGAGGCTTTCTAGGCCCCTGGCAGGGCTGGCATTAGGCCATCCCCCGGAACTGCTTGCTACTTCCCCTCCCCCGCCCGACCAGCACAAGCTGGGCCCCCTTGCCAGCAGGATTCTCTCATTACCCACACTCCCTTCACTCCGTCCACTCATCCTTCAAGCTAATGCCTCCAGGAATCTTTCTAGATGGGCTGTCTTCTTGTGATCCACAGTCTGGTAATTACCTATCTTGTCATTCCCTTTATCATCTGTATTCCCATTAGACTGTGAGGTTCCTAATGGAAGACAATCCCTGATTCATCTTTCTAACACCAGTACCTACCCCAGGGCTCCTCGAGCCTGGATGCTCTATAAATGTCTGTTGAATTGAAGGGAGCTAACCTGCAGCACTGATTTATTCTGATCAAGGTCAATGTTGCCCTGCCTGGCATCAGGCACATGCTGGCTCCATCCCCTGTCCGGTAATTCATTCAGACGTTTACTGAGCACCTTGGGCAGCCCTGCCACCGAGCAGGTGACTTTGTCAACGGCCAGCAACAATGACGTTAACATCACCAGATGGGGAAGAGCCAGTCTCCCCCCTCCTGGATCTGCTTTCCCTTCCCATAAATCTCCAGATGGCACCTCGCCCAGGAGAGATTGGAGTGCTCTGCTCCTGGAGTGCCTGGGCCTTTTCCAGATCCTCCCCCACACTCTCCTTACCTACGCCCTGGGAGTGGACAGATTGCTGAGGACCCAGCCAGAGGGCAGGAGAGTGTGTGTGTGTGGGGGGGGGGGGCGTTGGTGGTGAGGGAATGAAACACTGTCAGCCTGTGGCTGGGTCCGCTTCTCCCACCAGCAGGAGGGATGGGGGCAGGGGAAAGGGGCAGACAGCCCAGGAGCGGTGGAGTAGGACCAGCCAGGGGACAGAGAGAGGACACACAGAAAGCAGGTAAAACAAAGAGAAGAGACGGAGAAGACCAAGCAAGGCAGCCAAGCAGGAAAGAGGGCAAAGAGGAGAGCCTGGACTGAGCCAGAATGGGATGAGACCGTGGTGGGGGAGAGGAGGGGAGAGAAAAGCGGGAGGAAGTCAGGAGAAAAGAGCGCCCAGCCGGAGGAGGAGGTGGCGTTCCAGAAGCCCGGGGAGCGCAGACGGAGCGGGGGTGTGGACGGGGACCCCAGAAGGAGTGAAAGAAGGGACAGCCCACCTCGGGCTGAGCACTCACTTTAGGCGGGTCCCCGGGAGGCGCTCGGGGGGGCCGCGGGGAGCAGGACGTCGAGGTCAGGCTCATTATCCCCGCTTTGCAAGCAGCTGGCAATGCGCAGCCTGACCGCCGCTCCTGCAGCCGGCCCTGCCCGCCACCTGCAGGCACCTGTCGCTGGCGGAAATGCACCCGCTCCCGCCCAGGGTGGGGAAGGCTGGCCCCAGGATATGGTTAGAATCCCGGGTTGGCCTGGCCTCGGGCGTGGCTTGCCGTGAGACCTTAGGTTTGTCATTGCCCGGTCTCTCACCGACAGCCAAATGGGGGCGGCAGAGGGAACTGACATCAAAGCAGGAGACCTGCCCTGACCGGTTTGGCTCAGTGGATAGAGGGTCGGCCTGCGGACTGGAAGATCCCAGGTTCGATTCCGGTCAAGGGCATGTACCTGGGTTGCTAGCACATACCCAGTAGGGGGTGCGCAAGGGGCAGCTGATCAATGTTTCTAATCTATGTCTCTAACTCTATCCTTTTCCCTTTCTCTCTGTAAAAAAGTAAATTTTACATATATATATATATATATATATATATGTGTGTGTATATATATATATATATATATATATATATATATATATATATATATATATATATGGCAGGAGACCTACTCACTACAGTTCTAGGGGGTGAAGGACCACCAACACCCATTTTACAGATGAGAAGAGTGAGGCTCCAGGAGATAAGGTGGCCAGTGTGGAGTATATACCCACCTGAGATCAGATGCTAAAAGTACAAACATGACCTTGGAAGAAAAGAACTAAGATGCCTGCTGAGCGGGTTATTTTGCTTGTTAAAACTGTGAAAATTACTAAAGGAAGCCTCAACTAAATGGAGGCCCTACCGCCTGTAGGGGGAGCTCTCAAGCTTTCTACTCATGATTAATTACTCCCAAATAGGGAGAAATAGATTCCTTGGGTCCAATTGGGAGATGTTTTCTATTTTATTAGCCTAGTAAGAGGAAGGGAGGCTTTCTCCTTGCCTGGCAATAGCTCAGCCAATGAGAGTCTGTCACAACTTAGCCAATGAAAAGCCATTATGTCTGCACTCGAAGTTTCCTGCAATGGACTCCTTATAACAGCCCTCCTAACTGCCCCCTTTCCTCTATAAACTGTGCCACTCAAAGGTGAAAGCTGTGGAGACTTACCTGTTTCATTGTTTCTGGGCAGGAAACACTCTTCCCTGAAAATGTCTGGCTATAGGCTAGAGTTCAAATAGGTCTGGCGGCAAAATGTCTACTTTTTTTTCATGGTCAAAACCAGCAACAAGTACTGGCTGGTTTGGCTCAGTGGATAGAGCCTCAGCCTGCAGACTGGGGGATCCCGAGTTAGATTCGGATTCCGTTCTGGGGTGCAGGCCTGGGTTTTTGGGCTCCTGGGGTGGGGGGGAGAGGAAGGGGAGGAAACGTGCTGGAGGCAGCTGATTGGGGATTTTCCTTCATCACTGATGTTTTTTCTCTCTCTCCCTCTCCCTTTCTCTATGAAATCAACAAAAGTATATTTAAAAGAATTTTTAAATTTAAAATGGGCCTGGGTTGGTAGTGCCCTCAGATGCCTGACAAAGAAAATAAAGACCTTTCCTGTAGAAAAGAGCACAGAGTCCACACCCAGTCCAACAAACTCAAGTTCACAATCTAAAGTCACAAACCACAAAAGGACACAAGGTACCATGAGCAAGAGTCAACAGATCCACACCACCTCAGATTACTGGATAGAGAATGTATGTTTAATGTGTTTAATGTGCTTAAATAAACACAAGTGTGTATTTAAAACATGAGTGAAGAGCAAAATGATAAGAAATGACCAGTCAGATTTGAAAAAAAGCCAAATAGAACTTCTAGAAATGAAAAATAAAATAGCTGAAATGAAATTTTACTAAAACTTAGTAGGGGTTGAGAACATGCAATCAAGGGAATAATGCTGTACTCTTTTTCATAATTTTGGCAAATATTGCTGATAATATGCCAGATGTGGGTAAGGATGAAGGAAAATAGCTCCTCAAACGTAGTTGAGTGGAATGTGAACTGATGTGCTTTTTTTTTTTTTAAGTAATATGGCAATATCTACTAAAATAAAACCCACCACAGACATCATTTGACTCAATATTTTTATTTTTGAGAATTTATCTAATAGAAATAAAAGCACTACCCTGAAAGGATATATATGAACATATATGTTTATTACTGTTTTGTTTGTGGTGGCAGAATTGGAAACAAAGGGGTATGGTTGAATAAACCAGGATTTGTTTGGAATACTATGTAACTATTTACCAGTAAAAGAATGAATATGTCCTATATCTATTCATTCGACCATGATTTATTATGCAGTTAAAAATAAATATTGGCCTCTCCAGTTTGGCGCAGTGAATAGAGTATCAGCCCACAGACTGAAGGGTTCCAGGTTTGATTCTAGTCAAGGGCATGTACCTTGGTTGTAGCTTCAATCCCCAGTAGGGGTTGTGCAGGAGGCAGCTGGCCAATGTTTCTCTCTCATCGATGTTTCTGCCTCTCCATCCCTCTCCCTTCCTCTCTGTAAAAAATCAATAAAATATATTTTAATTTAAAAAAATAAATGAATAAATATTGGAGATCTCTAAATTCTGACCTAGTTTATGGTGACATGGGACCCATTATGGTGCCTCCCTTGTGAAAACGGTGAAGAAAATTGAGTCAGCCAGCACAGCAAGTACACTTGCTCCTTCTAAGGCAAACCTAAGATGAAAAGATGAGCTGTGGGATCCGGCACTGTGGTTCCTGCATGAAAATAGTAGCCGGTGATGCCTGGACTTACAGCACCACTTCTGCTGTCACAAGAAAGTCAGCCATCAGAAGACTGAAGTAATCAAAACACCAGTAGAAGCTCCACAATTTGAAACATTGCTAGCCTACAATGAAAGGGTTAATTTACATAACAATAAATAAATCAATAAACGTCAGTGTATACAGTGGGAATCCATTTGTGTAAAAACACAAACATAACAAACGTCTTCTATAAACTTCTGTCTAATTTATGTGAGCAAATAATCAGAAAGGTATAGAATGATACATACTGGGTGATACTACTGGTTATTCAGTAGGGTCAGTGTTGAAATGGAGAGGGACAGTTATTGATTTTTTTTCATAATAATATCTTTGTATTATGTCTCTAGTTTCAGTGAACGTGAAAACTTATAAAAGAGGAAAAGAAAAGGCAGCATCATAAGACAAGCACAAGTTATTTCTGGAGGAAGTCAGCTTTTTAATTTGGGGAATCAGGGAAGGCTTCACGGAAGAGGTGGCATGGAAGAGGTGGCAAACTGGGTATTGAAGGAGGGAGAGGTTCGTTGAGAGAGGTTTGTAGGGGATTCTTCCCAGCATGGGGGTCAGCTGTGCCAAGTGAAGGAGGAAAATGGAAGGGAAATGATTATGTGTTGAGCTCAGATCTTTCTATCAACCCTTCCAAACAGATTTACTAACAGTTGAGGAAACTGAAGCGCAAAGCAGTTAAGTGAATGAATGGCTTAAAGGCCACACAGATGGTAACTGACAGCACCAAGCTCAGACTCCATCTCTTTTTCACTCCAAAGTTCTCATTCTGCGACTATGAATAATTGTTTTATATCTGGGTGCTATGGTCTGAACGTTTGTGACCCTCTGAAATTCATATTTTGAAACCTAATGCCCAATGTGATAGTCTTAGAAGGCAGGGCCTTTGGAAGGTCACGAGGGTGCAGCCCTCATGAATATGATTAGTGCTCTCATAAAAGAGACCCCAGAGAGTTCCCTAGCTCCTTCTTCCACCATATGAAGACACAACAAGAAGGTAGTCATCCATGAACCAAGAAATGGGCTCTCACCAGACACCAAATTTACCAGTGTCATCATCTTGGATTTCCAGCTTCCAGATTTGTGAAAAAGAAATGTTTGTTGTTTAGCCACCTTCCAGTTCATGGGATTTCTGTTACATCAGCCCAAAAGGGACAAAAACGCTGAACAAAGTATGTGCCTTGAACATTATGACTTTGCAAATGGGACCGAGCGATGGGGAGGCAGCTGTGATCTCCTCAGGGCAGGCTTCGCCGCCTGCTGTGCCTGGGCTGGGGAGCCTCCCACAGGCTCCGCACGGCCCACCTGCCCACTTCCCCTTACGTGCAGTCCCATCTTCCCACGGCGCTGATGGGCTGCATGGGTCAGGATGTTTCCACAGGGGGGCTGAGTTCTGAAGCGTCAACACCCCAGAAAGGAGGGCTGGACCCTTGGAGGGACAGTGTGCTCTTCTGACTGTACCAAGCAGCCTGGGCTTGTTGTGCTATTTTCTGTTTCTCCTCCAGCCCCAGCTGCCTTGAAACACGACCTGCACCCCCATGCCGCTCTGCCTTTGCTTATGCTGTTCCTTCGGCCAGAATGCCTTTTCCCGCCAGCTCATGCTCTCTGGAAAGCTCCTACATAGCTTTCAAGGGCCAACTCAAATGATCCTCCTCTTCCTTTGATAGCCATTAGGGCAATTATTTCACACACACACACACACACACACACACACACACACACACACGTTCAAAATAGGAACTAGCACCTCCGGGGAAAACAAAGACCAGGGTTTTAGTTCTGGTTCGGCCATTCGTGTATCACCTTTGGAAAGTCTCTTCCCCTCTCGGGGCCTCAGTTCTCCACTCATCCTCTGGTGGGGATTGGGATATTGTCTGAGATGCTCTCTGCAATTCTGTCTTGCTTGAAGCTATGGCAACAAAAGAATTCAGACAGCTCTTTGGTGTTGCCTCTGACTGGCTCTTGTTTCCCTTTGGCCCGATTCCAAGAGCAAACACTGCTTTCCTCTGCCCTTCTCCCACTCACCCTGCTCTTTGTTCTTCTTCCTCAGACAAAACCAAGAGCCCCTCTCCTCTCCAGGCAGCTGGGCTTTGGGCCAGTAAGCCAAGTGGCAGCTGGGACTCAGATGAAAGGGCCCTCAGAGGACTGCCCGTGGCTGAGTGCCCAGCCCAGCTCAACCCACGCCTGGCAGCCCTGGGCCCAGCTGTCCCACAAGGCCTCCTGCCACCACTCCCACACAAGGCTCCCTTTGTGAGTTCTACTGCAAGGGAGACCTGTGCCAACCCACAGGGACCCTCTTTCCTTCCCTCTGCTCCTGGCCTGCTTAAAAAATACCCAGGTCTTGCCGAAAACGGTTTGGCTCAGCGGTAGAGCGTTGGCCTGC